CCTGGAAACTTAGAACAAGGCCCACCCTCCCTGCAAACCCTCAAAATGGGTGACCGGAAGTGAAACAGGACCGGTTGTCCTCAGCAACCTCAAAAATGATTGAGGAGGTAAGGGGTTTGAGTCCCTCCTGACCCTCACCTCCCCTCTGGTTCAACCAAACACCACTCATGGTCGTGTCTACCTCTGGGGAGTAACTAGGAGTACAGCAACTCCCTCAGAACTTCTCCCCTCAAGTGTCAGCCTGGGGTGGTCGCCCTTGATATTGTCAGCAGGTTGTGGGTTTTACTCCTTTTCAACAGACCTGATTATAGAAATCTAGGTGGATGCTCTGATGTAACATTGCACTTTTGAACCAGACATTAATCTGAGTCCTGCCTGTCCTCTTGGTTGGAAACAAAAGATCCCACCGGTCAATATTAGCAAACTTGCAAGGGAATGTTCCTGGGTGTCTCAGCCAATATTGACCTTCAATTGATATGACAGCAATGCAAATGATAGCATCATTATTTGTGGAATCTTGCTGTGCCCAGCATGACTGCTGGCATTTCCTACACTACAACAGTGATTAGCCTTCAGTACATTGGCTGTAGATGCCTTGTGATGCCCTGAAGGCTACATCGGTAAGAAGGAAGGTACCAGTCTACATTAAGCATCTGGAGAAAGAGATCTTAGACACTACACTAAGAGCTGTATTTGGCAACCTACTATAAATAGGTATAAATACAGGAATGAAATGTTACATAAGGAGTTGAAGAGCCTTACCCAGTGGAGAGGAGCATACAGCTTCAAAAACACTCTATATGCAAACATCCAGTATACTCCATACCTATTGGGGATAGTTTATGTAGAGATGACAAGATACTCTCAGAAGGGACAACGTTGGCTTAAAACATAAGAAAAAGCAGCAGAGCTATCGAAGTGATGTATGACACAGAGGATGCAAGGCTGAAAATGATCAATTTGAAGAATTGTATGAGTTCAAGCAGCTTCAGGAACAGTGATCAGCTAATTGTCATTATTTATTTAACTGTGCAGAGATAGATAGGCAGACAGGCAGAGAGACTCGGACACTCCCTCAATAGTGTGTGGAACAGACTGGATTATTCACTAAGCTGTGAGGACAGATATTAGTTTCAGCAGTAAACAAGATTTACTTGTTTATAGTGTGGTGATAACTACACATTGTGATCACTAAAAAGAGTGAATATTCATTGCGGAATAGGTACAGTAAAGCCACTTTGTAAGTACTGACGAGATCTTTAATAATACACCTCTGTTGAGTAGGTCTTCAATAAAAAAGGCACAAATCAAACTGGGTGTGGAGCAATTGATTTTGAAAAGACAGTGATTCTTCAGTTTACTCAATCAGGGCACTATTAAAGCTGTCATAACCAATCAACAAAACCTGATGTATACTAACATGCTTAATGCAAAACATAACACAAAATCCCCCTTTTTACAAATATTATTCAAAACAGAAATGCACGGTCATACCCAACCAAGTGTTTTAATTTGGCAATTGTACAATCAGATAAGAAGAATTTTCAAGATTAACACTTGAATATAACACTTTGGAGGTTTGGCAACTCTTCCTGCTCTGCTGATCATATATCCACCATAGAGGGGTATATTGTTCTTTGTTGTTTTTTTTGATGACTTGATTATCTTGCTGCTGGTTGAGGTCACTCAACATTACTGCACAATCATCACTGAAATGTTCCTCCTTACTATCTTTGTACATTATTGCTGTGTTGTACACTGATTTGAGATGCCTTCTATCCCTTCACAACATAGCACCTCAGTCAGTAACGACTCTGTGAGATTTTGGCTGGTAGCATATTTTAGAAATAGGCACTGGTATCCAGGCATTTGCATTTTTAACTCACATGCTCTGTATAATGCTCAGTTTTGGTCATTCTCTACCTGCTTACTCATTGTGTATCTCTTGTATTCTCTTTTCTTGTCTTTGAAGAAGAAAATCCCCTGTTTCTGAATGGTTAGACAGGTGGTTGCTGGCCAAAGTCACTCACAGTTGCCTACTGAGCATAAGTTGTCCTGGGATGGTAGTCCTTTCTTTTTTGTGTTGTTGCACAAACATATAGCAATACAATGTGAAAATCTTGTTTTGTGAATGATCACAGTGTAACACAGTAGCTCAGTGGTTAGCACTGCTGCCTCACTGGACCAGGGACCTGGGTTTGATTCCAGCCTCAGGTGACTGTCTGTGTGGAGTTTGTACGTTCTCCCCATGTCTGTGTGGGTTTCCTCTGGGTGCTCCGCTTTCCTCCCATAGTCTACAGATGTGCAGGTTAGGTGGGTGGGCCATGCTAAATTGCCCATAGTACCCAGGGATATGCAGGCTAGGTGGATTAGTTGTAAGAAATGCAGGGTTACAGGGATAGGAGGATAGGTCAGGGTGGGATGCTGTTCAGAGGGTGGGTATAGACTTGATGGACTGAATGGCCTGCTTCCACACTGTAGGGATTCTATGATAATACTTATCCAGTATTCTGCTAGACCATTTAAGTTCAGATAGTACAATAGTGATGTAATAAATGCTACTCCCCATTTAGTACACATATCTTCTAATTGGTTTGCCAGGAAATGGTAGGCCATTGTAAGGGTGATTACTATTTCCATAAGACTTCTGAGAGTTCTTCTTCAGAAAAATATCAACTCATGCCTTTTGCAACTTCAGCTTCAAAAACACTGGTAAATAGACTACTGAGGTTGCGCTCTGTATGACATAAGGCAGATCAGTTGATCCTGAAGTTAATTCTGGTCTTTAAGTATCTTCCACAAATTACTGGGTATTTCTAATAGTCAGCAGAATTACTAGATGCATTAATTCTGTCAACCTTCTCCTTGCTGATGACACATAAGATTTTTAAAGCTCTCTTCTTGGTATCATCTATAGCTTGATCTATAAAATAAAACTGCACGCTTTGATTGCGTAGTTGCAATTCTATAATTCTATATAATTGGCTGTCCAATCCATAAAGAACTGGTCACCATCCATTTCTCTGTGAAAGTCTTATTGTCTTTTGCTGAAGTACAGTGCAGGGCAATGTTAGTTTAATACTTTTGCTCATTTTTCATCTCCTTCCTTTAATTTTCCCATTTTCTGATTGTGTTTACTTTATTTGTTTTGTTGCTGCTCCTTTACTCACTTTGGCCCCTTTAAGACTGCTGCTTTAAGGATTACAGCACGTTAAGTTAGAATTGCAGGTTTGCAGTTGCAGGTGTCATTCTCAAATAAAGAGTGATGGCATTATACAAGTTTGCTTCTACTTTGGCAGAATGAACCGACATTTAGACACAGGTAAGACTTCTTAGTGTAGAAAACTATTTTTAAAATGTGTTTTAATTGCAGGTTTCTTTCTCTAGAAAGCTTTGTGGCTATGATATGAGGAGCATTTAACTGCATTTATTTTTCAAAATCAGAATGGCAAGGATTTCATTTAATGTGAGACAGGTCTTCTGACATAAAAGAACCTGGATTATATCAGAAATAAATCAGTTTCATCTTCTGATTCAGCAGTGCCCTTTCTATAGATTTGTACTCACAACAACTAATGCTATTGATTGTATGAATTCTGTGATATCTAGAACTAGTGTCTAGTTGATCTTCAATTAGGTTTCCAAATATCCAGCACTGAGATCTTTGTATCCTTATTTACAGATGGCAAGTGTGGCCAAACATGTTATGCATTTTGTTTTCATCAAAGTCTAATTTCTTGATGTGGCAATACTTATGTTATCGCTCATAACATAAGAAACTGGGACATGGGTAACATAGTACTGAAAACAGACATTTGTTGCATCTCACTAATTTGTACAAATGTTACCATCACAGGCACGTTTCTGGATTAACATTAAGCTATTCAGTTACAAAAGGTTGCAAGTTTCTATCAGCATGTTTAGTCTCAAGTGATCCAAATTAAGATGGCACTGTAGATACTTTTTTCTTCATGTCACCAACTAGGACAGTGATAATATCATGAGTATACCTGTTAAAGGTATAATGACATGCTAACTGTAACACAACGTGGGCCAAAGATAGAAAAATTTTCACTTTACCCTTTATAGACATGGCAACTAGATTAAATCTTTCTGTAGTAGCACATGTCAAAGCCAAAAGAAATCTTGTAGAGAAAATCATGGAGAAATGGATGAGATGCAGACTTGGAATACTGTTCTTTCCAGATGAGGATTTAAGGCTAAAATTAAGGTGGTTGCTTGAGGATTTGAAGTTTGAAGAGACAAGCTACCCAGATGACAAAACGATTTATCATCAGACACTAACTCAATGGACAAGAACGGGAACAGTTTTACTGTACTATAAGGAGGTTACTGTGCAGTAGGTAAACAGGACACAGTGTGCATAATCACAAGAAATGATGCAGTGTTTCATGATGATGATCATGCTGTTCCTGCCTTATCACAAGTTAAAGCTCTTATTAGGTGCTGATATCATTTGGAATGTTGGTTAGTTGTTTTTATCAATAAAAGTTAATATGTTTCACCCTACACCAGCAAACCTCCATAAGTATCCTTTGGCAACACAATTCGACCAGGATTTATCTAAGCCCACAACACGCAACAGTCGTGCATTTACCAAAACTGAAAATAATCGTGCAAGTTTGAGGCAGCGATGGTGAGTGTAGGCCAGTGAGGCAGTGGCAGTGAGGCAGCGACAGCGAAGTGCGGGCCAGTGAGGCTGGAAAGCCCAGAAATGGACTCCGGTGGAGGCATGGCGAGGGCTGGAAATCCCTGAGTGGGCCTGTGGCAGTGAGTAGAAAAGTTGGACTCTCTTGTTATCTTTTTTTTCCTTATTTTGTTCTAAGTTAATGTGAATGGCGCCAAATATATATGGCGAAGGTACACACTTTTCACTGTATTTTTACATCGAATACACATGACAATATATGATTTATTTTCAATTCAAATGATTCAATTCAATTCAAATTTACAAGTTCTCCACAAAATGTATTCTACAGACTATCTCAAGAATGAAGTCCATCAGAAGGAGAAAGTATACACCCATGGTAAGCCTTCTCGTAGAATGATGATCCTTTGAAGAAAGAGGAAATAGGAATTACATATAAATTAGCTAAGCTATGGTCAACAAAGAGATTCAATGCACCAAACGTAAATGCAAACTGGAACTAAAAACGTTTTACAGGTATATTTAATCAAAAAGAAGGGATCACTTTGGAACTTACATTCTAAGTGCATAAGATAAGTTAGGACTAGATAACAAGGAAAGTGCAGATGCTCTAAGCTCACAGTTCCAGATTGTATTCAAGAAGGAATCAGAGTGCCTGAGTATACATTTGCAGTATAGGGGAAGCCTTTTAGAATATGTGTCATGACATAATCATGATAAAATGTGTTGAGAAACTCTGCCAAAACATTTATTCAGATCCTAATAACATCCCAAACTCTCCATTTAAGCCTGCAGCAAGTGACTTTACAGTGCATTTTTTCGACAATCCATTAATGCAGCAGAACTATCCATTAATGAGCAAATATCTCTCCAATCTACAAGAGAGTACCTCTTAGTGATCTATCAAATTAGCAACCTGTTTCACTTACTGGTGTTTGCTGTAGATTGCTCGAACACATCTTTGATAATTAGCTACTGGAACAGCTTGAAAGACAGATTGTGCATATTTTCATCAATTTATATCAACAGAATGCTTATCCTTACCATCATTATCAAATCCATAATCTCGACAATCACATCAATGCACAAGAAGAAACGTTTACGTTGAAATCTATTTTAGATTTTTCCAAGGCTTTTGACCATGTAACACCCATTAAACAGCTAGACAAACTGACCATTATGGAGCCCAAAAAAATTTTAAGCAATCCTATTTTTGTGTGAGGTGGGAGCCCCACAAATATTGTCAAAAACTGACTCAACCACAGTTCAAAATTGGGGCTTTTAAGTACATTGGATTGGAAGTCAGCAAAAATGAAATGACTACCGCTTTGCATCAGCAAACTTATTTGGAAAATGTTAGGCCCATTGGACTTAGTCAAAATAGGGCCTCATTGCAAAGAGGCTGTGCTTTCCAAAACTAAAATGGCAGTTAAATGGGACGGCTGAATTAGCTGGATACTCAAACAAGGCCAAATGCCAACTGATGCCATTCAAAGTCTTGGAATGAAGTGTGACAATAAAATTCTCAAAATGGGATATCATATTCAAGCAAATGAAACATTGAGAACCTAAAACAAGGAGCATTGTGCTTTGAAACTTCCATCATTAGGTGATAGCAGTGACAAGAAACTTTATATTTTTAGTGATGCTTCCTTTGAAGATCTGTGCGGTGTTTTTCAGTGCAGGAGGGTTTATACATTTTTTGCTAGGAAGAAGAAACTAAAAAGATTCGAAGACTTTCACTGGAAAACTCTTGTGTTATGGTAGATGTGGCTCTTTTCTTAGCAAAATTATTGGAAGAAATAACAAAAAGGTTTCAGCAGCAATACATTATGAGTGCTACATTGCTAAGTCAAATTGGGATGATGCACATTCAACAAAATGTGTGAATAAAGGACTGAGGATCAATATTGCAATTTTAAAGTAGATGCTGGAGAACAGAAAAATATCAGTATTGAAATGAGTGGACACCAGCTGTCTGCTATCTGATTGCTGAAAAGGAGTGAGGAGCAAATAAAACTATTTGAAGTACTGGGAAAAGGATGTTTGGAACTGTGCTGGAGAAAAAAGAAATTAGAATAAAGTATGCTGCTGATCTCCACAATACATTGTCATTTTGTATTTTGCTTTTTTTTTTGTTGTGCATTGTTATTATTTATATATTTACCTTACAAGGGGAAACGAGTATCTGTTATCATTGAGTAGGGTCTGGATGGAATGCCTGAGACCAAATTGATATAGAAAAGGATTGGTGAACATACATTGCTTAAGGAACATAGGAGCATAGAAATTAGGAATGGGAGTAGGCAACTCGAGTGCCCACTCCACTACTTAATGTGATCATAGTTGATCTTATCCTGGTTTCAACTCCACTTTTCTGCCTGCTCTCCATAGCCCTTTATCTCGCTTTTCATTAGAAACATGAGATCAAGAGATAATTGGCTGAGTATTTGATTGGGTGTGCACATAAGGAGAGTCTTGTGATACAGTGGTAATGCCCCTAACTGTGGGCCAGAAGGTCCCACATTCAAGTACCACATGGCTTAGGAGATGTGTCATAACGTGTCCAAGCAGCTTGATTTTAAAAAAAACTATACAGATATATAGGGGACCAAGAAATCAGTGGTGGATTGTGGGTGGAAATAAAACTAGAGTAGTTAAGTATATCCCTATCAAACTGATATTTAATACTCAATGTGCTTCTTTTGCTACCTCTTTTTTTCCTCAAGGACAATAAAGAACTGGAACAATCTTCCACAAACTTTAATCTCCATATACCCTAATTCAAGGAAAATCGGTGTTTTACAGTGTTTATTGTACACCTCCTGTGAAAATTTCCGAGCGGAAGACTACAACAGAAAAACGTACCAATTAGAAGTATCACAGTCAGGCAAAATCAACGCAGAAAGAAACAGGATCAGTATTTCAGGTTGTGGCTTTTATCTGATCTAGTCTACATGATATGCTGTCATAAGTTAAACTCGTCAGCCTTGTTGTTTTGCTGGTGAATGCAACACATCCACACAAATAAATGAAAAAGTAGTTTCCCTATTTGTAGCTTGCCCAACTCTTTCTGCTTTTCCTCGATTAACATGTAACAAGTAACATCTTTTACACTTAGGCAGACTAGGCCAGGCCTTAATGCCTCAGTCACAAGTTACAGTCTATGAGAAGGCAGTGTTGCCTTACTGCTGTGTCAGCCTGGAAAATGGTCGGTTCTACAATGGAAGCAACGGGGGTTACCAGTTGACACTCGGGCGAAAGGAATAAGTAAGACTGCAATGAACAACGGAAAGAGCAGCAATAATCTGGGAAGAATGGAGATTGAGAGAGGAAATGAACAAATCAGGCTGCAGTGATTGTGACAACAAAACAAAACATCGAGGCTAATCTTTCCAATAATTCAATCAAGGGAAACTTCTGGCCATCATTTCCATTCTCTTTTTCAATTTCTTTTTCTGTACGCTGGGAGCCGGGATTCTCAGGGTGCCCATCTGCCGTCTGCAATCCTGAATGTCGCCATGGTGATGACACCACTGAAGGTGAAAGTGGAGAGGGGGGTCAACAGGACCTAAATTCAGTCAGACAGATTTCCACTAGATGATTGATGGGCTGGTGTCTTGTGTGGGCCTGTCAGGGGATTTTGCGATTCACCACCATGTCGACTGTCAATTAGTGTCTCATCCAAAGCAGGAGCTGGTTGCCATAGGACCCTCTGAATGTAATTCAGTGAGTTTGGAAATGTAATGAAGATTCTTTGGAGGTCCAACCTCTACTCTCCCTCTAATCATTCTGTTTTTCAAAAATCAAGGCAGCCAGCTACTCAAAGGTCCAATAAAAACCAGAAAGACACCAGACTCTTTTCCCCACTCTCAGATCAGGGCTGACATCAACTGAGCTGTGTGTAGACTGAGACAGGGGAATAAATGATGCTGGTCAGCACTTTAACATCTAACTAGTGATCCTTGCATCCTAAGGTGAAATTAGCCTCATGTAGTTGATAGTTTATAGGCACTGTACAATGCTTAAACAGGTGATATTTAAGTGAAAATGCAAGCCACATTTTCTTTCTAATCAGCCTTGGTAAATAACTGTCACTGGCAAGGCCTGAATTCATTGATTATCCCTAACTGCCATGGTGAAGGTGGTAGCAAGTTACTTTCCTGAATCACTACAGTCCTTGTGCTTTATTTACACCCATATGATATTGGGAAGGGAGTTCCAGCATTTTGCCTAAGTGGCAAGTAAAGGAAGTATGTTACAGTTCCAAACAAGGTGGTGTGGTCACTTGGAAGGGAACTTGAATGATGTGGCTCTACCTACTACTTGCCTTCGATGTGCTAAAGGTCACACGTTTGGAAGGTGCTGTCAAAGAAGGCTTGGTGAGTTGCTGCAGTGCATCTTGTAAATGGTGCACACTGCTGCCATGGTGCATTGGTGATGAAGAGACTGAATATTGAAGGGGATGGTTTGGGTGCTAATCAAGCAGGCTACTTTGTTTTGGATAATGCTGAACTTCTTGAGTGTTCTTGGAGCTGTGCTCATCCAGGCAAGTGAAGAGTTTTCCACTACACTCTTAACCAATTCTTGTTAGATGACGCACAGACTTTGGGAGTCAGAATTTGAGTTACTCATAGTAGAATTTCCAGCTTCTAAACTATTGTTGTAGCTACAGTATTTATGTGGCTGGCCCAGTTCAGTTTCTGACCAATGGTAACCCCCATGATATTGAAGGTGGGAAATTAATCACAAATAATGTCATTGGCTGTCAAGGAAAGGTGGTTAGGTTCTCTCTTGTTGGAGATGAGCTTGATTGATCCATTAAATTTGAATGCAATTTGCCTCAAAATGTACAGGTAACCCTATTATTCAGGGCTGGAGGAAGATTCAAATCAATGTTGCAGTCAGAGGAAGTTCCAAATTTTGTGACTAGGTCAGTTGGGAATAGCAGGCCCACCAGGAAGAAGCACTGTGCAATAGATCCTCAGAACTGTGGATTTTGTTGCTCGGACTGGATCACGACAGATTGTAGGGTGCAAAATATTAGAAAATGATTGAAAAAGCAAAGATTTTATTGGGGTGTATCAAGAATCTGCATGAACAACAACGACATCAAAATCCATGAACAGAAACTGAGTAAAATCCCTATTCTCTATCCAGCCCTCTGTTAAGAGTTAATCTGATTATTGGGGATGAGTGTTGGATAAAGTATTTTACTTAAGAACTGAAGCAGGAAGAGGTCCTTTGAATCTGCTGCACCATTTACTACAATCGTGACTAACCTTATCTTGGCCTCAAATCCACTCCCCATAAACTTCTAAGTTGTGACTAATTAAAAATCTGTCTATCTCCTCCTTAAAATCTATTCAATGTCCTAGAGTCCATTGCACTCTGAGGTAGTGAATGCCACAGAATCATTAATCTTGGAAAGAAGTAGTCATACCTGATTTTACTTTTAAATCTGCAACCCCTTAGCCTAAAACTATGACCCCTCATTCTAGATTTACCCACAAGGTGAAACATTCACTCTTCTTCTACCTTGTCAATACCCTTCAGTATCTTGTATACTTCTATTGGATCTCCTCTCATTCTTTTTATAGTTTCCAATTGTGGTGACTTTCCCAACTCTGGTTACATAGGAAGATTAAAGAAATTGAGATGATTCCCCTTCCCTTGGAGAAGGCAATATGGAGAGGAGGTTTGAGAGAAGTGCTCAAAATTTTAAGGGGCCATAAGGAGCAGAGGGAGGAGAAATTGTTCCCAGTAATGAAGGGATCGCAAGAATGTGATGCAGCAGTGAATGAAATTGGCAAAACAACAAAGGCAACGTGAGGAAAACATTTTCATGCAGTGAATGGTTAACATTTGAAACGTGAATCTGAGTATCACTGACAAAGCAAAGGAATGTTGTTCATTCCTGATCGCTCTTTAGAAAGTGATTGTGAGCTGCCTTCTTGAGCTCCTGGAGTCCACTTGGTATAAGTATCCCAACAACACTACTAGGGAGGGAGGTCCAGAACTTTTACACAGTTACACTGAAGCAAGTGCAACTTATTTCCAAGTGAGAGTGATCTATAGCATGGTGGGGACTTGCATGTATCTGCTGCCATTATCATCTTAAATGGGAGAGATTCTGGATTTGGAAGGTGCTGTCTAAAGAGCCTTAGCGAGTTTCTGCAGTGCATCGTGATGTCGATGGTATGCATTCCTGCTACTGAGTGTTGGTATATAAAGGACTACTTGTAAGGTGGTGGATCGATATTGATTGAATGGACTGCTTTACCCTGGGTGGTGTCAAGCTTCTGGTGTGTTGTGGGATCTGCGGCTCTCTGGAAAAGTGAAGAATATCCCATTACACTCCTGACAAGTGCCTTGTAGATGGTGGGCAGGCTTTTGGAAATCACAAGGTGGGTTACTCACTGCAGAATGCACAGCCTTTCGGAAAATGTTAACGTTGTCAGTGATGCCTATATCCTGTGAAAGAATGGAAGTACATATGGGGATTGATATGGGATAGAGCATGGGAATACAGGTTAGTTTGGGATACAGGATTGGCAATGCATAATGATGTGGGATACTGTGCAGGAATGAGATTAATGTGGGATACAGCAAAAGAATGGTATTAATGTTGGACACATTTTGGAAATAGGGATTGATGTGTGATGGAGTGTGGAAATGGGATTTGATGTGGGACAAATTTTGGAAATGAGAATTGACATGTGAGACTGTGTGGCAATGATGACTGATCTAGGTTGGAGTGTTGGAATGCAGACTGAGATGGAATATAGAATGGGAATGAGAATTGATGAGAAATGATGAGATAAATTGTGGGAGTAAGAATTAGTGTGGGATACACGGAATTTGGAATGAAGGTGAATGCATTTTGGAGATGCATACTGATTTGGGATAGAATAAGAATGGGGTTGATTTGGGGTAAAGTTTGGGAATATGGATGTCGGATACAGTGTGAGAATGCGTACTGATGTGAGATACAGAGTGGGGATAGAGATCAATTTGGGACGGAGAGTGGGAATGGAAACTCACGTGTGAAAAGCTGTGAGAATAGGAATTGACATGGGATGCAGTGTAGGATGGGCATCAATGTGAGACAAAGTTCGGGAATATGGTTTAATATAGAATATATTTTGGGTAATGGGGATTGAAGTAGATTACATATGGAAATTGGGATTGGTTTGGGATATAATGTTGCATGGGAATTGCAGTGAATTATATTGTTGGAATGAGGAATAATATGGGAGGAAATGTAAGATTAGGTATTGTTGTGAGATATAGTGTGGGGACTGGGCTTGATGTGTGATATAGTGTGGAAATGCGGATTGATGGGAATATAGTCTTGGAATAGGAATTGATGTGGAACTTAATGTTGGATGATTGATGTGGGTTGTATTATTTGGGGATGGGGATTGAACTGGGATACAGTGTGAGAATGGGATTGATGAGTAATGCAAATTAGTAGGGAATACAATTGGAAATGGGAATTGATGTAGGATCTAGCCTGGCAATGAGGTTGGATGTTGGATATTGTGTGGGATTGGGAATTGATGGAGAAACAGCCTGGCAATTGGAATTATTGTAGGAATCAGAGACAAATGGGAATTAATAGGAAATAATATGTTGGACATGAGGATTGATTTGGGAAACAGCTTGACAATGGAGTTGAATAGGGAATTCTGTATGGGAAGAGCAATTGATGTGGGATACAGCTTGAGATCAGGTTTGATGTGGAATACAGCTTTGGAAATCAGATTTATGTCAGGAACAATGTGGAAATAAGGTTTAATGTGGGAATCAGTGATGAATGGGGGTTAGTAGGGAGTACAATGCTAGAATGGGGATTGATGTGTGCTATAGTTTGGCAATAGGTTTAGGTGTGGGATATGGTGGGGTGTTGAGGATTGGTGGAGAAACAGACTGAAAGTAGGAATTGATGTGGGAATCGATGGCAAACGGGGTTAAATAAGGAATACAGTGTTAGAAATGGAAATTGGTGTGGGATATAGTTTGGCAATGGGGTTCAATGGAATACTGTTTTGGAATGGGGATTGATGTGGAACATGGTATAAGATTGAGATTGATGTGGAAATACAGCTTTGGAAAGGAATTGATGTCAGGTACAGTGTGGGGATGGGGATTGATGTGGGTTACAGTGTGGGAATGAGATTGATGTGAGAATCAGTGGTGAATATGGATTAGTAGGGAATACAATGTTGGAAATGGGGATTGATTGGAATATAATTTGGCAATGGGTTTGGATATTGGATACTGTGTGGGATACAGTATGAGATTGGGATTGATGTAGGATGCAGCTTTGGAAAGGAGATTGATATTGGTTACATGTGGAAGTAAGGATTGATGAGGGGATACAGTACGGGAGTGAGACTAATGTGGGAACCAGTGGGGAATAGAGATTAGTAGGGAATGCAGTGTTGGAAGTGGGGATTGATATGGGATACTGTTGGGGGATGTGGTTTGATGTGGGATTAATATAGTGTGCAGTTTTGGAAAGGAAATTGATATTGGTTACAATGTACGGGGGTGGGGATCGATGTGGGGTACAGTGTGAGAATGAGATTGATGTGGAATCAGTGGTGAGTAACGATTAGTGAGGAGTGCAGTGTTGGAAATGATTGATTTGGGATATAGTTTGGGAACAGGGTTTGATGTGGGATAATATGTGGGAATCACATTGATATGGGACACATCATTGGAATGGAGATTGATGTGGGAATCACTTTGGAAATGAGGATTGTTGCGGAATACGGTGCGGTAATATATGGGAATGACATTTTATGTGGGAAACAGCGTGAGATTGGGATTGATGTGGAATACAGTTTTGGGAAGTAGTTGATATCAGTTACAGTGTGGGAATGGGATTGATGTAGGATACATTGTGGGAGTAGGATCGATTTGGGTTGGGTGCTTGCTAGATATGCTCCTACTTCCCAGCAGCGAGAATATTTCCCAATCATTTGTTTACATTGTGCCGCAGAAGAGAGGCGCGGTGTGACAGGCGCTCTGTAAATGCAAGTCTCTTCGCGCGAAGCAACGCAGCAAGTGGATGGAGGTTCTCCGCTCCAGGTTACCGAGTGGGACAGGTTGAAAACCGGCGTGACTTTCGCTAGCGTTGAATGTAACGGTGGCATTGCTTACGGGGCGAAGATCGCTGATGCTTTCTGCCAGACTGGGTAGACCCAGATCCACTGCTGCCTGGGGAGGCCAAATGAAGCAGTGTGAAAGGCAGGAGGAGAAATCGGGATAGAGCCATGAGAGATACGGGGGGGGGGGGGGGGGGGCATCTCGATTGAGGGCAACCAGCTGGAAAGCGATGTATGGTCCCGAACCTCCACTTACAAAAGCTTCCTATTTTGTTTTTAATTCATTTCAATTTCCAGACTTTAAAAAAAAACGCAACTAGGAGACAACTGTTGTTTCTTGTCTTCTCTTTAAAGGGTTAGAAACGCCAAACTTGTCGACCCGATTCTAAAAGTGGGAATAACGCGGGAAGAAATGAAGAAGGGCGTCGCTGGACCCAGAAACGTTAACCCTGCTTTCTCTCTCTCTCTCTCTCTCCCTCTCTCTCCAGGGGGGATGCTGGCCAGACCTGCTGAGTTTCTCCGGCAACCCCTCTTTTTTTAACTTTAAGAAATTGAACGATGGCAGCTGAAGAACGCTGTCTCTCCGCCTAGGAGACGCATCCCAGAGCGAGCTGGAGGAGGAAGCGTTTGAGGATGAGAGGATTAAAACGCGATCGCAAATAAATGGAGAGGGGACAGCGGCGGAGTGTGAGGCAGAGGAGGTTTTTTTTGGGGGGGAGACGGGTGGGGAGGGGGGAGGTGTGGGGAGAAGGAGAGACGGGATGTTGAAAGAAGAAATCCGCGCAAAAGAAGTAACAAAAAGGAGGCAGAGAAGAGGGGAGGGAGAGGACAAGGGGGGTTGAAGGTAAGAGATGAGAGAGGGGCGTTTATTGAATGTCAGAATACAATGGAATACAATATCAGTTTAGCACACACACACACATTGATTGTCGCCGAGATAAACCTAACTGAAACTCTTAGATACATGTACAGCACTCCGCGCTCTGATGAGAGTTGACTACGTTTGTCCTTATCTCCACCAATACTGCTGCCTGAGAGAAGGACCGTTTGCAACATCCAATTCAAACGTCCTGATTAGTTAGAGTTAACGGTTCTGAGGAAGGGCCACCGGGACCCGAAACGTTAACTCTGATTTCTCTTCACGGATGCTGCCAGACTTGCTGAGCTTTTCCAGCAACTTCTGTTTTCCTTTCTGATTTACAGCATCCGCAGTTCTATCGGTGCTCAGTAGTTTGTTTCTTCTGAGTCTAAATGCACCTCTTCCCAATTCCTGTTTTTTGAAACAAACCGCCCACCTGAATTTCAAAGATAACGTCGCTGTTTAAAACACAAGTCCCCTGAAGTTCAGACATCCGAACGGGAATAACAATTCGCCTGTTGTTGTTGTGTTTCGAGAGATTGGCCAGTGGAATATTTTGATTTCTCCACGGATTGTACCAATGAGAAACAAAAAAAGGCACCTGTTAAACCGATTACCGGCGCTCGTATTGTGCGAGAGTCCGACGGAGCAGTGCTTGGTTTTACCAATGTCTGAGGAGAGGCAGAGCGAGAGAGGGAAACAGAGACTTGAGAGTGTATGTGTGTGTGCGTGTGTGTGTGTGCGGGGGGGATCGATTGGAAGACAATTGGACCAAAGCCGGCTTCCGATGTCCAGGCACAATTCTTGGGATGGTGGGAAAATAGCACAAGAATTGCGTTTGGACAATCAAGAGCCGGGGTCCTCAGGAGGCACTGACCTCTCCCGCTCTCTCTCACTCTCCCTCTCCGCGTGGAAAAGGAGGGGGTGTGTGGTTGGGCGCGGTGGGGGGGAAACAGGAGTCGTCCCCCATCCCCTAACACCCCCTCCCCACACACC